ATTTTTTCTCCAATATGTTGCGCGAAACAAAAAGAAAGGATTTAGGAGCCATTGTGTTTTTCTGTAACTTGCGTTTAATTAAGAAAACGTTAATCAAACATAGAATTTCGAAAATGTACTAAATATAAATCATATCTTCAAATTCTGTTTATCATAATTTCCTGCATTATCCGGTCATCAGTTATTTTGTTTAGTAATATTCCAGTCGTACATGTAATCGTATTTGAAGTTCAAACGATAAAACAAATCTCTGAATTTGCTGCGGAGATATTTATAATCGGGAGCTTCTTCGAATTTCAGACTTCTGCAATAGCGCAGATAATTGGCAAATTCGTCGGGAAATCCGCTGCATAATGTTTCGATAGAAGTAGATGCTTTCTTTTCGAAGATTCTTTCGTATTTTTGTTTTCTGGTTGCAGCAACCAATCCCTCCCAAGGAAGACTTCCTCGGAGGAAATACATTAAGACATAGCCTAAAGATTCCATATTATCGCATCGACTTTGTTCAATTCCTAAATGAACGTTAAGGCTAACATAACGAACTGTTCCTGTTAACTTTTTTCCGTCTTTGTACTCGATATGTTTGTCTTCGACTTTATACATTTTAGATAATCCGAAATCCACGATAAATACTCTGTTACAGAATTGAGTTAAACCCATCAGAATATTATCGGGTTTGATGTCTCTGTGGATAATATTCTTCGAGTGGATGTACTGTAGACGGGAAATTAATTGATCGGACAACATTAGCACAGTTTTGACACTAAATTTTCTTCCGCAACAGTTAAATAGGTCTTCGAGGCTCGGACCGAGTAATTCCATGACTAAAGCATTATAGTGTTTATATTTTCCAAACCACATAATTTTGGGGATGCCGCAGCCTCCTTGCAAGATATTATAAACCCTATACTCTATCAAAACTTGCGAGTGTTTGAGAGTAAAAGACACTAATTTAACTGCAACTTGCTCTCCATTTTCGGTATTTAATCCGAGGTATATATCCCCGAAAGATCCATTGCCTATTTTATTTGTTAGACGATATTTTCCACCAATAATTTCGGATGATGTAATCGATTCCATCGTATTCAATATTATGCTGTTGTATAAAACTTGAAATTTTCCAGCTATTATTTTCGAAAGAATATAATCATTTTTTGATTATTGTTAGAAAAATAACAATGGAACCGATGAACGAAATCGAAACAAATTTTAAAATATTTAAATTCGCTTACTTTTGCATTCTTTTAAGTGGACAGCAATTGAACGATATCGTTAGAAAAAATTATGATCTTAAAAAATTAATATTACCTCCAAGAAATTGTTTCATTCACAGCCGAATATTAAATGACAACCTATCAAATTTCGCGTAAAACAGACCAAATATTTAAACTTGGTATCCTCGAAAATTACTTAAAACGTATTTTTTGCTTTCCAGTAATTTCGTATTATATAATTTTCTTATTCGAATGCCACCATACCGTTGGTCCGATAGGAAGATGGAAGGGGTTTGAAGTTAATTCGACCAAAAGCAGTAGTTGGCCTCCTCCTGAGAGAGAGGATGGTCAACGACTACTAATTAATACCGGTCTACTATTAATTAATATTTGAAAAGTGATCCATGTTGGATAGATTGTGACGGCCCTGCATGTGATTGAAGTTGTTAACCTTAATGTCCGAAAGACTTGATATTAGACTTGTTTAAATAAAAAAAATCTTGTAAAAATGGAGAATAAATTGCTTTTATGAATAATTGCGAGAATAATTGCTTTTATATGATCCGGTAAAAAACATTGGCGAAACCAGGTTGAAAAAGTCAAGCTCAGCAAACACAGTAAAGGAAACTTGAAACTTGTGGCATAAGAATAGTAAAAGCAGATTTGGCAGTAAGACATGTGAATAAAGTGCACTACAACTACAGAAAATTTTGAATGAAGCACTGTCGCCATGATAATAAATAGGAAAAAGACTTTGAGTTCTATGCCTAAAAGTCGTTGCACGTACCGGTACATTGATTTGGCTGAACGTTAGAACATTTTTAAGCAGTATCAGTGAAGGAAGTTTGGGGCAATGGGTTTCAGTTGCCAAGGGAGATAAAACCGGGAGAGGGCAGGGTTTTCTGGTTTCGTGATAGTTATGTATACCCTCTTAAATATCGCATTTATAGTAAAATTATTACAATTACTTTGGTTTACTTGGTTACGCTAACGCGTTGCTGTAACCGTGAGCGATCTGTCCGTCAAAACTACTAAATTTTGAGAAAAAATTGTGAAGATGTCACAGTAAACAATCGCTCGTTAGAATTAAAAAAGAACTACAGTAGAGCCTCGATTATCCGACTCAATTGGGGACTGGGATTGGTCGGATAATTGAAAAGTCGGATAACCGAAAAGTATGAAAAAATCCATTATTAGTGTAGTATATTATTATATCCCATGTAATTAGTATATTAGTATATCGCTATTAACCTACTTCGCGTTGAATTTTCATCGATGTTAAGCCTAACAAAAATTTTTTAAA